TCCAGGTATGACATTCATAGTATATTGATTTTTGTAGAACATTATGAAATATAGCTAAAAGAAAATGATTAGTTTCAGTCTGCAACATACTTTGCAAGAAACTTTTTAAGTAAATTAATGTTATTCATATAATATCTACTTTTATAACTTGTTATTATTTCATTTCATCAGTATTTCTAAATACTTTTATTTTAGGAATATGAATAAGCAGCTGTACCCCCAACAAATTAATTCTCCCCAGAATTTTGGACAGCCACCTCCAGTTTCAAGTCCACAACAAAATTATCAAAGTGTTCCTCCAATGGGGGCACCTAGTGAATTAGTTGGTAATATGAAACCCAATATGTTGCCACCATCTGTTGGAAGTCATCCACCACAACAGGTTTTTCATCCCCCAGGAAATGTCCCTCCAAGTAACTTGACATCACCACCCGTTTCGAAAACAGTTACAAACAATGAGAATATGCCTTTTTCTAACCAAATACCACATTCCCAGACAGTGCAAAAAGCTCCACAAATGCAGTTGTATGGTAATAATGCTCATTTAAATCAATTTAATGGACCACCTCAATCTCAAATGCAAAGTAATTGTTTTTTAATTTCCTTGTATATATTTTTAGTAACATTGTTATTTTATAGGTCCTCCTCCAAGCAATATGCCTGCAGAAAGAGGAAATATTAATAGTTTTCCACCAACTGACCAGGCACAACAATTTAGAAAACCTCAACAAATTAGTCAACCTCCTAATAACCAGTTTTTACCCCCTCAACCTCAACACTCACAACAGATGCCACTTCATCCTCCCCAATCTGGAATGCATTATCCGCATCCTCCATTAGGACAAAATCAACACCATCAATCTAACCAATTCCAAAAACCACCTCAGCTTCCTGGGCAAAATCATTATGATGCAAGTCATTTATCAAATCAGATGCATAATATGACATTAGGTAATCAAGTATCAGGTAACTTTCTTACTTTAACCTCTTATAAATCTGAATACATAGTTTAAATTTTATTATATGCTTACTATTATATTGTTTTTTAAGTTTACCTCAAACTACTGTAATTTCAGGAAATCAAAAACCTAATTCATTTGAACCTAACCCAGGAATAAACGGATCTTATAACATGCCTCCACCACCATTACCAGGACAGCAAATGTACAATGGTCAACAAATAGGGCCATATCCTTCCCAACCAATTATGAGTCCAGGACAAATGGTGCCTGGTCATGTGCAAAAAGAAGGACCTATGCAAATGCAGGGACCACCTCCATATGGTGGACCAGTCCCTCCTGGAGGCATGGGACATTATCCACAGCCAGCATATCAGCAACAGCAGCAGCAACAACAAAGCAAAAGATTAGATCCCGATCAAATGCCTAGTCCAGTATGTAATTTGATGTATTTTATGTGTTAGATGTTGCAATTGATTTTATTTTTATAGATTCAAGTAATGCAAGATGATCAGAAAAATAGATCAGGTGTATTTTGTACAAATCAAAAAGGTTTAGTGCCCCCTTTGGTCACTACAAAATTTGTTGTTCAAGATCAAGGCAATGCCAGTCCCAGATTTATTCGTTCAACAATGTATAATGTCCCCATTTCTCAGGTACATTCGTTAGATTCAAAGTTAAATTGGTTTTAAAACTGCTTTGAATGTTTTTTTTTTAAGGATCTTATCAAACAAACATCAGTGCCATTTGCTCTCATAATCAGTCCATTAGCTAACCAAGAGGGACAAGAATTTCCTTTACCTATTGTAAATTTTGGAGAACTCGGTCCTGTGAGATGTATTCGTTGTAAAGCCTACATGTGCCCTTTCATGCAGTTTATTGATGGTGGACGTCGATTTCAGTGTTTGTTCTGCAAAGCAACTACTGATGGTAGATATTACTTACCTTTTTGTGTTGCCATTATTTTAAAAACAATTGTTATAGTTCCAACGGAATACTTCCAGCACCTTGATCACACTGGTCAACGAATGGATCGATACGAACGCCCTGAACTCATCCTAGGGTCATACGAATTCGTGGCTACTAAGGATTATTGTCGAAATAATCAACCACCACAAGCGCCTGCAATTATTTTTATCATTGACGTTTCTTACAATAGCATAAAGTCTGGGTTGGTGCATTTAATATGTTCACAAATGAAAAACATCATCAAAAATCTACCAGTTGACCAAGGTCAAGAAAAAAGCAATATGAAAGTTGGTTTCATCACATACAATAAAACAGTTCATTTTTATAATATTGGTACGAGTTCAGCTACTCCTCAAATGATGATAGTGGGTGATGTCAATGACATGTTTGTTCCCTTACTAAATGGGTTCTTTTCAACTCTGGAAGAATCAGAAGCAGCTATTGATGCACTTATGCAGCAAATCCCAAAAATGTTTGCAGATACTAAAGAAACAGAAACGATTCTTTTGCCCGCTATAACTGCAGGTTTGGAGGCACTGAAAGCATCTGAAAGAGTTGGAAAATTATTAGTGTTCCACTCATCTTTGCCTACTGCTGAAGCACCAGGAAAATTGAAAAACAGAGATGATAGGAAAGTATTAGGAACTGATAAGGAGAAGAGTGTGTTACAGCCACAAAGTCAGGCCTATAATCAACTTGGGCAGGATTGTGTTATGTCCGGATGTTCAGTTGATCTATTTGTGTTCAATAATTCTTACATTGATTTGGCAACAATTGGACAAGTCTCACGTTTAACTGGGGGGGAAATATATAAATATACTTATTTCCAGGTATGACATTCATGCATCCAAAAAATTATATTTAGCATAATTAAAATTCTTGCTTTGTAGACCACACTGTATGCTTACACTTTAATGATTGTTATTTTCGTTTCAGTCCGAAATCGATGGCGATCGATTTATAATCGATTTAATTAGAAACATCAGTAGACCTATTGCATTTGATTGTATGATGAGAGTAAGGTCATCAACAGGAGTACGTCCTGTTGAATTTTACGGCCATTTCTTCATGTCTAATACTACCGATATGGAATTGGCTTCAATAGACTGTGATAAGGCGGTTGGTGTAGAGATTAAACACGACGACAAGTTAGCGGAGGAAGAGGGCGTGTACATTCAAGTCGCACTCTTGTACACGTCTTGTTCCGGTCAGAGGAGATTGCGAATATTAAATTTGTCTTTAAATACATGCTCACAAATGGCAGATTTATATAGAAGTTGCGAATTAGACACATTGATTAACTACTATTCGAAGCAGATGTGCTACAAGTTATTAGAAAACAGTCCTAAAGCTGTTAAAGATGCCATCGTTTCCAGATCAGCACAGATTTTGGCAACTTATAGGAAAAACTGCGCAAGTCCCAGCAGCGCCGGCCAATTGATATTACCTGAGTGTATGAAGTTGTTGCCACTTTATGTCAATTGTTTATTAAAAAGTGATGCAATTTCTGGAGGTAAGTCAATTATTAATTGCTTCTAATTAATAATTTGATATTAAATTAGCAGTGTCTTATAAATGCATAAATCAACAACGTACATAATTAAAACGTTAAGTTAAATTTTAGGATGATGGTTTTCTTCGACAATTTAATTTTTCTGTTTCTTTTCGCATCATGCATATATCAGTCACAATAGAGTAAATGAAGAGATTTAAATTTGAAGTGACATTCATGTTCATTTCTTACTTTCATAATAACTCTGTGTATATTTCGCCTTTTCAAGACATTTATTTAGTATAATAGTTTACTCCTGATGAATCCCTGAAAAGGCGTAACTGTCCAAGTTTTCTTTTCTTAATGAAAATATTTAAGAGTTAATAGCGTCATCATTATTAAAAATTTACGTATAGTTTACAGGAAAGGTCGTAAATTTGATAGTTGAAGAATAAACAATTGTGATTAATAATATGTGCAGTTCGATTTATTGTTTTTTTGTCAACCACATTTTATTAATAGTGGTTTCGTATATTTATATATTGAGAGATAACTGCCTGATTTATTTTGCTGCTTAAAACTCTTTTTTAACTACCGAAACTTGACTGAGTTCAAGTAAGTAAAAAAAAATCGTAGGGCGTTAATTTGCTTTGCCATTTTTAATTTAAATAGTGGCCCATAGGCATTGTAAGTGCTGTCTCTACAGAGCATTAAAATGAACTAACTGACGTTTTCCTATTTTTAATCTTGATTATTGTAGTAATTCACCATTTGTACTTTATTGCACATTAAGCTTTAATTTTTTAAAGCATTTTTATGATGTGCATTCTAGGATCTGATATGACCGTTGACGACAAGTCGTATCAAATATACGCTGTTATGACAATGGATGTACCTCGATCTGTAACCTACTTTTATCCTCGTTTAATTCCTCTACACGAAATTGAAATAACGGATAACAGCGAAGTTGAAATACCATCACCCATTCGATGTTCAATAGAAAAAATGACTGACCAAGGATTATACATATTGGGTAAGTTTTACAGCAATCTGTAAAAAACGAAAGCAAATTGCTTTCATTAAAAACGAATACCTACCTATAAAATTACACAGGTACACTTATCTGAGAGTATCAAGCGATATTATGTTTCCTTTTGATAATGCATTGTTTTCTTTTATAGAAAACGGCATTTACATGTTCCTGTGGATTGGCCTTGCGTTGGATCCCGAGTTGTGCCAACAAATATTTGGAGTCCCATCTGCAATGCAAATCAATATTGACAAATCACACTTGCCCAATTTAGATAATCCACTCTCAGTTGCAGTAAATTCAGTTATCAATCAAGTTAGAAATCAAAGGCATAAATGCATGAGGGTGAGTTTAGTCTTTATATTTTTGTTTTGGTTTCTAAAAATTTAGGATATATTAAGTACGTATTTTTTAATTTTTATTTCAATTTCATTAACACAACCTAACGGTGCGTTCAAAAACAATAACATAATTGTTATAAATCAAGAAAATTTTAATACAAATATTTGAAGGGACCAATGAATTTACAAAATAAAATTATCTGTTAACTTACAGGGTATTATTTAAAATTAATTCTGAAAAAAATAGTATTAAAGGAAAGTTCTTTATCATTTAATTGACAAGAACACTAGAGATAGAAGTGGTGTAAAAACTACATAGGGACGCATAATATACGGCACGAGACATAAGGGCTCGGCAGTTCACTGAGCAGTAAGGCAGAGCGCAGTCGTTCGTCGTGCAGCGATTTTTGCTTTTTTGATCGTTATTAGTCATAACGCTTTTTAGATACATTCTCATAGGGTTAAATTTTTGCTTCTCTATTTTATACTACAACAGGCAAATAAGGTAGAACGTATATCATAAGTACATCAAAATAGTCATGACTTACGGTTACTCCACTGCACTACACTGAAAACGTGGAAATAATTAAAAAGAGTATGGTAAACTCATCTGTAGCTTTTTGTCTCCGTTTTTTTTTGTTTTTTTCATGTACACTCTTATACTCAGTTGTGTCGGCCAATCAAAAACACCTTTAAATAAAGACAGAGAAGGAATAGGGGTTTCACTATTTTTCCATCTCACTCCTCACAACAATTTGCAGAGCTATATGAGACTTACCTACTCTATTCTGTTATCTCTATCACTGATAATTATGTAGTATCCATCCCAGGAAAGAATAAAAAGTGTTTATTCATATGCTCTTAAGTACTAGGAATAGCCCTAATTCGATCCAGCAGCTATTTCAAAATTGTGAAATATGTGACATCACACCGGACGTGGGTCTCAAAAAGGTGTCCACCTGTGGCAAGAACTAGGGCGGGAACAAAAAATCATAATATTCGTGTGACATAATTTATGGATGGTCCCTTATAAAATGTTAATATCACGATTATCATTTGCATTTCTAATTTTACTTACCATACTAATTATCACGCAAAAGGTGACCATGACAACTTTATGATCCAAACCATATCCATAAAAAAAAAGTTGGCAGCACTGCCAAAGTTTATCATTTTAGGGGGACGAACTTTAGATATGGTGTCATAAACGGCACATCCGCCTAACACTTATGTATTTACTGCAATGTCTGTCTGCGTTTTCGTTTTCATTTATTAAAAAGTTCTGCGTTTATTGTACATTGATAATACAATTGTACTTATGCATATATTTGTCTATATTTGAACTTAATTCTACAGCTTACTCTCGTGAGGCAGAAGGAGAAATTGGAACCTGTTTTTAAACATTTCTTGGTGGAAGACCGAGGCTCAGATGGAAGTTTAAGTTATGTAGACTTCTTGTGTCATATGCATAAAGAAATTAGAAGCATCTTAAGCTAGAAAAATATTTAATGAAAATGTCAACGTTAAAACGGATCGTCTAGAGCTACTACAGTTCAATTAATTGACAGATTGATATACTTTTGTTTTACATTCAAAAAAATATATGTTTATATTTTTCCGTTACTTTACATAATATATATTATATATACATGTATTATAAGTTAAAACACGTAATCAAATAGAATTTTTATGTATGTCATGTTAGTTGATCATTCTGAATTTCTGTATGTTATTTTTTGATGAACTATAAATTCTGTAATTTATTTTGTACCTATGATCCCAAAAAATCAATTTAAAAAATTATGTCGACCTTTTAAAAATAATAATACTTAGTCATAAGGTCTTGTGTAGGCAATTATTATTTTTTTAAATTATGTTAAAGGTGTATTATAATTTCTTATAAATAAACTATTACTGATTGTTTTAATCTTTATTTCTAATAAGTATTATTATGTGTAATTACATGACAAATTCTAATTGTTCTTTTATATCTGAAGAAGAAAGAAATCCATATTTTTACTCCTTTTAGACGCTTAAAAACCACAATTAGATGTTTAAAATTGGTCTTCTGATTTAATAATACTAAAATATTTTCCACTCCAAGCAGACTAAATTTACCATTTTCTGTTGCCTTTTACATAAAATTATATAGATTTATAATACTAGTCTCCTGTTGCCCGTGAAAACGGTTGGAGCAAAGCTATGAGTTGCTCATAACAGCAGCGAGAACAACCAAGAACAGATACCTTCAACTGAAAGGATACCGGTAATATTTATACGGTAGTTACACGTTCACCTGAATTAATCAGGCTGCAAACGAAAGAGCTTCTTATCCAAACTCCTGCCGGCTATACCTTCAGGTCAGTTTAATTGTATCTACGTTAGCGTAGATTCATTAATTAATTAATTTCGTGGTAATTTTATTAAGAGTGTCCTAATCAATTCTTAAAGCTTCTCAATGTTGGATTAAACTACAACCTAATCCCTCTATATTCTGTACAGGAATGAATGATATTTACAAAGTTTTATGTTGGGGATGTTGCACTTGAAATTAGGGGAAAATATCCTTAGTACTACTTTCGGTAGAGGTATAGTAAAAATGTATTTAAAAGTATGCATTTGAAATGTACTTGCTCCAATAGCTGCATATCGTAGACAAAAATAAAAACGCGAGAACATAATTCCATGTTATTGTTGTAGTATAAAAGAATTAAGTTTTGCCGTTAAACAAACTGCAACGTAAACAAAAAAATGTCCACATGTAAATTGTGATATGTAAAAGGTGATCTAGAATTGGAGGACGAATATTTTGTGAATTCTGCAAAAAAAATGGGAAAAAGATGCGCCGGTAATATATGTATACCTATGTCATAAAAAACCGAATAAAATAAACCCCAATTGAACTCAACTGGCCCAGTAGTTTAGTGGCAAAAAAACATTAAATTTGCAGGTTACTTACAAAAACTGACCATTCTGGTTGAAATATATATTAAGAACTGGACACATTGTAGTATACGTAATTCTTAACCTACCCTTCAATTGCAAATCCCAGGTAGTTTTGTAGTTTTTCGAACCGCTACATTATCAAAAAAAATACTTTATTCAGCCTGCGAAAACCTTATGACGATCGTACCGATACATGACAAACTAGGTTTTATTCACCAATAAGATTTACTTTATAACAACATGGAACCCCCCTCACGAAGGCTGTAAGTTGCACTTATTGGACTTACATTTCTATATTGTATATAAAAAGAAGGTTGAAGGGATCTGTATTTTGCCTTTCCTACATCTTATTTTTCAAAAGACCCTTTGATGAATGCATGTACCAAATAAAATACCCTATGTTCGGTTGTACATCTCTTTTCTGTTAGGCTTTTGGCTCTATACCGGTTGGTCCATTCTCCATTTCATCCCTTAGTTTAGATAATATTAAATAAAATTCAAAGCTTCCCAAATAGAGGCGAAACGTCCATGTTGGTTCTTCATAAATAAAAACCTTCCAACTCTTAATTGCCTTGAACTTTATTTAATATCTATGCCGTTTAGTCCTACCATTACTTTGCAATAATGTGACAAAAGAAAAGCCCAATTACTTCTAACTACCCAATTTTAATAACAATAACTTTAGAAACATAATGGCAGTTTTAACATTAAAAAAAAACAAAAGATAATTAGGAAACAGTACACAATACTGATAATAATCAATTGCAAGTCTTACCATGTCCATCGCTTAATAACAACAGTACCAATAACCGGCAATTGTTCCTTCGTAGGTAGGTATTTTATTTCTATTTCAAATTTAATTTGAAATTATCAATTATGATGTTATTCTGAACTCACCGTATACTGCCCTGGCGAAGAGTAATAACGAAATTAATGTAATCAATGTCGTAACAACTTCAAATGTAACGCCGATTTCTGGTAGGTACAGGGTAATCTTTTTGCTAAACATTTATTTGTAATTTTCTAAAAATCCCATGTCGACTTAAAGATACATCGAAATCAAGATCATAAAGTATTAGTACCTACTTTATGCAAGTAAATAAAACGTTAATTAATGTGCTCACCCTTACATAATACCAACCACAAACAAAAGTGACGAAACATAAATGTGAAAAGAATCGGCTTCTTTTAGGCCCTGCCCTAATTACAGGTCTGATTACAACTCTGTGATAAACATTCGGTAAAAAGCTGTGATAAGTAGGATTATTTTGGAAGAAATTCTTCGTTTTCTAATTTGTTATTAGTATCATAACATGATTAATAGACTACAGGGGTATGTAACGTTGTAATTAAAACGTATTTTATCTTTGAAATCCACCGTTCTCTCATTCAAACTAAATGGTAGTTTTCTTTTTAAATCGGAATAAAATTGTAATATACAAAGAAAACTAAGTAGTGCAAACAAAATACTCCATTCGTATTAAACACCTTACATATTATTCATAATTTATTTGGAATCTAAGTTATCAAAAGACAATTGATTTTTTCATCTGCCTTTGATAGTTTCAATTACCTGTTTGCGTAATACCTACTACATATGATGAAGATTTATAAAATAAGTTTGTAAATAAAAAATGGTAAGTACAAATGCATATACATATAAATATTGAAGAAATCCTTCGTTCGGAATCAATGCAAATCATCATCAGTACAATGAAATTGAATAATGTAGTGTCGTCGTTTTACCATACATGGGTCTTATATTACAGTATACTAGACTTATGTGATGCTCGTTGTAATTATTTGCGTTTTTGTGAGTGTCCGCCAAATTTAAAACCAACATGTGTAGAGAAAAAGTCGATGTTTGTCTCGAAAGATGCTACATTTCACGCCAGCAAGGTAAGTATTTTTTTATCTTTATATAATTCATAATTTTAATAAGATTTTGAGCATACGAGTGACTTTAAAAATAATATACAACATAGTGTGACGTTTGATAAAGTCTGGTAGTTTGTTTTTAAAAATAGTTTATTAGACACAATGCGGCAATATACACAAGCAAAACTATATAACACTACATTATATCCTAACACATGACTACAAAAAAAACAGCTATTTACAGGGAAAGACGAATTAAAAGAAACACAACATAAAGACAAGATCGGGGGATCTCTCTCTGCCTTGCCGCTAGTGGTATGATGTCAGAGATGCTGGTACTGATTTGTTTTTTGTTTTCTTAAAAGAAGGGAAATTTGCAAAAAAATTAACTTGGATGTTTCATTCCCACCAGCCATTAATGCTGGTGGGCGAGCAGTCCCTCTGGACTACGCCGGAAGGTAGGGATTATTTGTGGAATATTACTGCCCCAGCATTTGCCTGAGTGATCCAAAGAAACCACAGAAAATCTTGGACTAAAGCAGACGAATCCGGAATCGAACCGACGTCCTCCCGAATGCTAAACAATGGTCTAAACCTCTAGGCCATGCCGCTCAGTCAATCTTCAAAAAAAAAACTTTTGGGTGTTTCATTCCCACCAGCCAGTAATGCTGGTGGGCGGGCAGTCCCTCCGGCCACGCCAGAAGGTAGGGCGGAAGGCCCTCTTCAGCCTGATTTCAGGAATCGTGGGAATGGGTGGGTGGTGGTTCGGGTGAGAAAGATGAGAGGGACGAAATGAAGACAGAAGAGAATGAAAGATTACCTGTGGAATATTACTGCCTCAGCATTTGCCTAAGTGATCCAAGAAAACCACAGAAAAACTTGGACCAAGGTAGACGGACCCGGAATCGAAGCGGCGTCCTCCCGAATTCTAAGCAATGGTCAATCTTCAAACTCTTAAACATTAAAAAACTTTTGGGTGTTTCATTCCCACCAGCCAGTAATGCTGGTGGGCGGGCAGTCCCTCCGGACTACGCCGGAAGGTAGGGCGGAAGGCCCTCTCAGCCTGCTTTCAGGAATCGTGGGAATAGGTGGGTGGAGATTCGGGTGAGAAAGATGAGACGGACGAAATGAAGACAGAAGAGAATGAAAGATTATCTGTGGAATATTACTGACCCAGCATTTGTCTAAGTGATCCAAGTACCAAGCAAACATTGGAAAAAAAGGGGTTGATAGTGGAGTGGTGAGAGAAGGGCGAAAAGTAACGATAAAAACAAATTTGCTAGAAAGTCAGAAAGGGAAACAGGAAATCTTGCTTTGTGATGCATCATTAGCCGTGAATGTCTTAGCCTAAAACCTTATACCTGTTCGAGTCGTATATTAAATAATAGTTTCTTTCAGAATCAAAATCTTTTGTTTCGATTTCGAGAAGGGTTTCTTTTGTGCCTATACTTGAAAATACAGTTATGGATGGCACGATAATATATCTCAAGATTAAATGTGTACACCAATTGGTCAGAGCATGAAGGCTGTGATAAAATTATGTATTGTGCTGTGAAGGTCTATCGAGGACGTTTAATTTTATTGTCCCAGGAATGGGTTAAATGGTGAAATCTTAGACTATTGCGTCTACCAGAGCCACCCCCATTTGTAATGACCAATGGAGCTTGTCTTCCATAATATTTAAGAAGGAATTCCTACACTCCACCCCCTTTATTAACACGTTCAAGTTAATTTAAGTTCTAAGTGAGACAACTCATATAATTCAGACAGCTCACATAATGTAAACACAGCACACACAATTAAGAGACAGCTCACGTAATTCAATGACAGTTTACAAGTTTTCCAAGATATGTAACATGGTCTATTTTGTAAATTAAAGTGTACAGTAGATGTAGGTTCAATACAAAATTCAAAAGCAAACTAAATGTCTATGCGTTCCTAATCTCAATAACAAATAGCACTGCTTCATTTACTTTCTTTAGCGATGAGCCCCTTCTAATGTCTTGAATGCGCTCTGGCAAAATCGTAGGGAGAAGAAAGCTCATTATACTCTCGACTCTTGTTTATTAAACATACTTTTTGATACGGTACCTGCCA